CGCGGATAATCCTGCTGATATGTTCACGAAGCCAGTTCCACATGGCAAGTTCCAACACTGCTTGGACTTGCTGAATGTCTTGAGTGGGTGACTCCGCCCTGCGGGGCATTGATGGCGGGAGAGAGATAGAAGGAGCAGAGTACATCAGAGATTTCAGAGGAAGAGGATTCAAGTCAAGGTGGAGATTTGTTGATATGACTTGAATCGGATTATCAGCCGCTACGACTGGTAATCGGGGGTCTCGCTGCACGGTATATGTTCTCAATGTTATTTGGGTTCGGGTTCTGGAACCTGAGTTGCACTCGGAGGTGCACTTGTGGATGATGTAATCCTCCTTGCATAGCCTCCCCTTTGCCGCTTCTCGACCTTAGAAGCCATCTGCATCAAATCCTCAATCTCCACATTGTGGTGAATCTCTACGACCTGCTTGATCTCCCGATTGAGACCATTGAGAAATCGAGCCATGGTTGCTTGTCGATCTTCATTGACACGAGCTTGAATCATTAATGTCTCCATCTCCTTGAAATAATCCTCTACGCTCTTCGCACCCTGTCTCAACAGGTGAAGAGCTTGATGCATATCTCGTTGATGATGAACGGGCACAAATCTCCTCCTTATGGCTGCCTTCATTTGATGCCATGTTGTGATGGTCTCTTCTCCGTGCAACCTCCATTCAGCACTCAGCGCACCACTTCAAGGTGACACTCTACCGCTGAGTTATATCCCTTCCGTTGCCCCCATTGAGAAATCGAGAAATAGAACTGGTCCCACCAAACAATGGCATAGTTAGAAAACTGAAGAGCAGCAATGATTACCTTCTTCCGTTCAGAGTAGTTGTGGCACTCGAACAAGTACTCCATCTTTCTCTCCTAGTCGAGGTAAGCTTCAGGATCACTCCTCCCTTGAAATGATGGCACCTTCACCTTCAGCCCCCTCATATCATCATCCCTATGCTGGGGATACTCTTCCTCCTCGTAGTACTCTTCATAGTCACGAATGTCAGGAGCTCTACGAACTCGAACGGGTGGTCTTCCTCCTCGACCTCTATCTCCTCTGCCTCGTAAAGGTCTGAGATTGTTGGGACCAAAGGGTCGGCCTCGACTTCCACCCGGTGCTGGTGGTGGAAAATCATCGTCCTCCTCCTCGGGGTGGAGGTTGATAGCTTGGGCCATTTCATCGAGGCGAGCGTTAATCTGATCCTGCTAGTCTTGCATCATCCAGGTAAAGCGTCCCATAAAAGCATCCATGGTTGCTTGTGGAATGCCTTCCAAGTTCTGAACTTCCTGATTGTTGCGAATTTCTCCTTCTCCTACCATTTAATTCAGATACTCGAAACAAGAAGTTATCCGTCAATGCTCAGATTAATGGTACAAACAAAGGACCTCACAAGTCACTCCCTCACGTGTTTGCACTCGAATGAGATCACTCGTTTTCTTACCACTCGTGTTTCACTCAACAGAATTGGCTTTTACCCGATAATAAACTCACGAAGCTTCTTTCCACTCGCTCTCAGAAACCCTAGATGAGCTTCTTAGTCAACAAGTAGAACAAGCAATAAAACAGTAGCTCGATTCGCAAAAAAAAATCCCAAGAAACCAACTACACAATCAAGACTCGACCAAGAATGCACAAAACTTGTTAAAGACACAAACTTGCGTGATCTGGCCTCCGTTCTTGTCTTTTTCGAGTTGTTCTTCTTGATTTTTAAGCTCGTTTTTTTTTTGGTTTTTTTGTATTTTCTAGAACGACTTTTTCCAACAGATGCACGTAACAATCAAGAAACAAACATAACCTCTCTTGGCGACGTTTAAGAACACAAAACTTGTTTGGCTGATTTTCGCACAAGATAGGAGGATACGTATGCCACTGTGTTTGAACCGGAGCTCTGATACCACCTGATATAAGCCGAGGCTCTAACTTCTGGACTTAAACAATTAGAATACGCAGCAAAGTACGATTAGCAAAACAAAGAGCAAAAGGACGGAAAATAACTCAAACCAAAGCAACAATTGGGCAGAGGGCCAAGTATACGAAGTGACTCCACAACTAGGGTGATGAGCTAGATGATAACATCCGTTTCTTCTAGACGGCTCGATTCCACGAACAGACTAAGAAGGATAAAAGAGTTTCAAAAATGAACTCTCAAATAAGGATTTTTTTCATTGATCAAAAGTTGTTTCGCTCCCTCTATTTATAGAGGTTACAAAATTAAGTAGGAAACAAATATCCAAAAGATTCTAACATATTGTTTTTAATGCTAATGGAAGATTCTTAGCCACTAATTATTCCCTTTCCTTGTTTGGCCAACTTGGGCATCAAGAATGTCCTTCTTTCGCTTTCCTTCGCCCTTCCATGTTTGGCCAACTTGGACATCAAGAATGCCCTTCATTCTCTCCTTGGATGCAGATTAAATTGACCTCTTGGACAGCTCCAGCTCCTACGTCGAGCACCTCTTGGTTAATTGGACTCTACTCTTTGCCTTCTTGAGCCTCTAAAGCCTTCATCTTCGAACCACGATCGTTGTATGTTCTTTGAACTCGGGGTACATCTTGCGAGGTGATCCGGGTAGCATCACTTGGGAATAAGAACCACCGTTGACTCCACAATCTCGTCCGAGATATCACCTGTTTCAAAGAACTTGTTCGCCATCTCCGTTAAATTCTTTCCCTGAAGAGGCCAGAATTTTTGATAAAAGATACCCTGAAAACCATCTGGTCCCGGGACAGACATCGGTTTCATTTCAAAAATAGCCTTGTGGTAGTCTGTTATCTGAAAAGGGTGGAGGAGTCGCATCAACTCATCCTGCTGCAGTCTAGGGAATCTATTTTTTGGCCTAAGATCCTCATAATTGCCCCCTTCTTGCGTGTACAAGGTCCTGTAGAAATGAACAACCAAGTCTCTCAGTTGAGCTTGGTCTTCAATCCAATCCCTTGTGTTGTTACGAAGCGAGAGGACCTTGTTTCTTCTTCGTCTCCTGGTTGCTTGTTGGTGAAAATATGAGGTGTTTTGCTCCCCCAGCTTAACCCACCTCTCACTTGCTCGCTAAAACCGGATCACTTCTTCTTGAGCTAGAAGCAAGTCTAACTCCTTTTCCAGCTTAATTTGGAGTTTCATGAGGACAAGAGACTAATCTGCCAACGAGTTAGGTTTTGGAAAGCTTGATCAAACGGGCTCTTTAGCACCAAATCTGCATACACAGTCTCCTTACAAGAACAAGAGACTAATCTGCCGGCGATTTGGCGCAAGATATGGAAGCTACACTGCCCTGAACGAGTTAGGTTTTTCATGTGGATGGCGGTCAAGACTAAACTATTCACTAACAGCGTGCGCAAATACAGACATTTGACCACGGATGACAAGTGCCCGATTTGCAAAGAAGAGATCGAAACCAATATTCATTGTCTGCGTTACTGCCCCCCAGTCAGGAAAATGTGGGAAAGGATAATCCCAGTTCAGGAGTGGCATCTTTTCTTTTCGGCAGATCACGCGGGCTGGTTTAAAAGGAACATTGATGGAAGCTTGAACATTGAAGACCCAGATCAGTGGCCTCACCTCTTCGCCGTAATGTGCTGGTTCATATGGAAATATAGAAATTAGTTTATTTTTCAGGACAAGCGATGGATGGATCCTTCTTTGATCAACTATGTCATTTCGAAACCGAAGGTTTGGCTGCAAACATGGGACAACGCGAGCTTAAATCTGATTGCTAATGATCGTCTGCAACTTGAAGAACAACTCATAAGCTGGAGGCCACCGCCAAGAGGATGGAGGAAGATGAATACAGATGGAGCAGCGCAAGGTGCTATGAGTTTGGCCACGGCGGGAGGAGCGCTGCGGGATAGCGATGGTGACTGGTTGGGTAGCTTATGTTGTAAGATAAGATCAGGTTCAGCAGTTTTAGCAAAGCTATGGGGAATATATCATGGGCTGCGTTTTGCCTGGAACCAAGGTACACAGTTCCTAATTCTGGAAACATATTCGAAATTAGCTATTGAGTTAATCAGGCATCGTGATGACCAAGCTCATCCCCACTCGACCCTTTTGATGGCTATCAGAAGATTGATGACTCAAAACTGGGTGGTTCAGTTAGTTCATACATATCGCGAAGGGAATAGAGTCGCGGACTGGCTCTCGAAAGCACAGTCTCGTCTATCCCTTCGAAATGTATGAGCTAATTGATCCGCCGAGAGAACTAGAAAGGATGATTTTGGAAGATGTGGTGGGAGTCAGCTTCCCCAGGAGGGTTCTACAGGATCTTTCTTGACATGAGCTGCTGCTTTATTTTCCTTGTGCTGAAGGGTGTGCACCAGCAGCCTTGGCTTTGTTCTGTTTTCTTTTGGTTTTGGCTTGTCCCCAGGGTCTTTGGGGCTCAAGTTGGTGATGTAATTTATCTTTGACCTCCTGGCTTTTGCCTCCCTTTTATAAAAAAAAAATTAATAAATAAAACCGTGCTAACACTATGAGGTTTTAACACCCTATGTAGTCCCAATTCTCTCCACCTAAAGAAAAATTGTATTTTGAATCTCATCTTTTGTAACCGTTGATTCATTAACAATCTGACTTGGTTTGCAAGTTGAGGATATTGGTTGCGAATCTCCGCAAGTTTACCTTTGTTGTCCATTAGATGGGGAGTGTAAATGCAAACCCTCCATTTCCCTGGGTTACGTATCTGTAAATGCCACTGTTTATGCACTTGTGAGGCACCAGGAATTTAGCGACAAGTTTACGGACCCCTGTGGCAGCCATCAATGGTTTAAACTGTCTTTACAAAGTAGAGCCCATGACATGATTGCTTGCTTGAGAAACTGCTAAAATAGCGTATCCCTCCCAGAAAAATAAACCCCACACGAAATTTCAGGTCTAAGAGCCCGAGGGCACACAGCAGAGGCTAGATCGATCCCCGTGCTAATCCAGCTTGGTTTCACCCACACTCGTAATCTTGGATATTAGTTATGCCTGATTTATACACAACGTGGCTAACGGCCCCTCGGAATTACAGATCAAACCTTTGTGGCAATACCCAGTGTCGTTCCAACTTGAACCAAGGTTTCTAGCGACCTTGCACTATTTGCCAGGAGGTCTTCATCAATCTGGATCGAATCCTGCAACCCAATGAACAAGTGGATAATCAACAATATCAGGACAGCTCCCGAGGCAAGTCCAGATACTGTGGCCGGCTATAGAGCAAAAAAGAAACGCGTGGTGGTGTTTAGTATGTTGACCAACCTTTTCAAAGACGCAAATGACCGTGCTTCCACCGAAGGAAAAATAACCAAACTGAAGAAGGTGACAGGAGAAGGCGGTTACCACCAAAGAGCTTGTAGATCGAAGAATTTTCAGGTTCTATTCTAATTCTCCGAAGAAACACATACCTGATCCCCCTTGTTCACATAATCGCCAGTCTTCTTCACGAATGCTATGCTACCTACCATGGTTGCTCCAATCGCAACAAATGCAACCTGCAGGCCAAGCAAATGGTTCATGCCTGTTTTTATTTTTTCCTTTTCCTTGGTGGAACATGCTTTTTTCGGTTATCCTAAACTGGATTACCTGTTTTCTGGATTTGGTCAATAATATTAGAGAAAAAGAATAACAATTCATTTTATCTTTTTTATTATTTCTGTTCCTATTTTTCGGCCCACTCCTCCTGCACATAATCCCTCATTCTTGTTTACTATCACTATCCCTCAACCTGTCAACAGACTCTCCTGTAATAGTGTATAAAACTAAACTGAATATACAGAAGCAGATCACGTTGGATTGCATTCGGATTCTCTCCACAGCAAATCCCTTTTTCCCAACAAATAAATCATCAAGGGATTCTCTCACGGCTGTTGAAGGTTACTTCACCTTGCAAAGGTTTAAGGGCTCTATTCGACCACAAGCAACCCCTTGTATGTGCATAGGTTAATTTTCCTTATTACATGCTCTACTTGGGTGACTTGAACCTAGAACCTCCAAGTTGAAAGCCAACGATATAACCGCTATGCTAAACTCTAGAATTAAACATGTGGAAGCACGATGACCAACCTTTCCGAAGCTGACAGTAGAAATAATTGATACAACTCGCTTATTTTCTGTGAAGACATTGCAATACTTGCTATTCACAGCAATCGGGTTCACCTAGGACACATAAAAGAGACAGATATTAGTGGGACAATTACGTATCTCAGTAGAAAGGTTAATCGCCAGCAGACTAACCAGGATGTTATAGTTTCATATTTTCCTTACCGTGTACAAACATCCCGAAACGTCCTTAAACTGCTCAATGGTTCCAGAAACCGGAAAATGGAATCTGTGATAATCCTGCAGCATTACGGGGAAGATGATTAAGAACTAGCTCATCAAGATCCAGAATGCAACCCATTTACTAATCCCTTCAGAAGAATGTTGACAGCTATGAACTATGTATAGAAGCGCTACTGAAAATTAGAATGTACCTGAGGTGCCAACCGAAATATAACCACAATTCCATCCTTGAAATTGCTACAGCTTGGATCATTTCCCAGGAGGCCACCGATAGAGAATTTCTTGCCCTAAAAATGTACGAGAAATCAGATCAGGAATCAGAGTGCTGCAAAAGTTTGACAATTGAAAATAATGTTAATGGCAATGAGAGCCACCGTGGAAGCCTCGACATTTAAACCCCCGAGGTTCCACTCATGATGAAACAAATCTTTGAAGGGAACTTTTCAAATATTTCAAGTACTTAAAACAGTATGACCATATTTTCTCTAAAATCCAACTCTAAGGATTTTGTACATTAATTTGATTGCTCCATTTATTATTTATTTCTTTCTTTCTTGCAGCCCTGTTAAGCCCTGTTCTGTCACTTTGATCTACCACAAGAAACATTTACGCATTAATCTTTCTGTATCAGCTCCACATCTAACAATCTTCAAATTCGGAAGCTATTAAGGAAAATTATGACTAATTTAACACGACTCATTTTTAAGAAAAACCATGGACAGGGCCTCTTTTGATACGCAGTTTTTTCCGTGGGAGACCCAAATAGTAGACAGTCAAGCAGCCAATGTATGTATTCCTTTCATGAACTACAACAGAATACTAAACAGAAATGCACGCGAAATGTTAGTGACACTTTCACAGATGATAGCATAAAAGGTTTCCGGATATAATAGTCTTGTAATCTCTTAATAATACAGTTTGACCAACGCGAGTGAGCCTCCATCCATTATTAAAATCTATTCTACCCTCTGTTAGACAAGTCACCTCAATCTAGTTTGAAATAATGACTTCGTACAAAATGCTAGTCACTACTAAAAGCCGCGGAAAAACTACTATGACACATCAAATAACTAGTAAAATCGATAAATCACTATAACAAATCGTCAAAATGACTAATACTACTATAGAGAATAATGAATTTATTAATTCGATATTCACATTTTTCTAAAAAGTAAAAATCATCATTAATCTATGTGTGGGAATCCCATTTAATCCGCTTTTTACCCCGTAAATTAGGCATTAGATCAACATTAATTGTTAGAAACCAAATTATATCGGGTTTCTATATTTATTATTATAATCATTATTAGGGTAATTCTTATTATGGTTAGTAGTCTTCTAGTAGAATTAGGTTTATTCTTAGGGTTTTCTAGTATTTCCCTATATATATGTACTTTGGGTCATTCGTCATATTAAGCAGAAGTTAATAAAGAATTATCTCTCTAAATTCCTATCCCAAACCTCTCAATTCTTGACCTCAATCCCTCTAAAGGATTAGGCCGATTATCTTCTGTTCTTCCCCAAATTCTCTTCACAAATCCCTAAATCTCCAATTTTGTTCTACAAACCCTAAATTCTCAAACTCTAGATCTGATCTAGAGACCCATTAGAAACTTGTTTCTAACATTTGGTATCAGAGCCCGGTTTCGAGAATTGAGTTTTCCACAAGTCTCAACCGGGGACAAGTTCTGCACCTGGTTCGACGATGAGCTCTTCAAGGCTCTCGGACCTGTCATGGGCGGAACTGCAGGAACAAGCCTGCCGCATCGGACGTCGTTGGATCCCCGAGGAGCTACCGATCGCGCAGGAGGAAGTGATGCCCAAGGAGACTGACGGAGAACTACCTCCGCAGCTGGCCAAGCGCGACGCGAAGGCTGGGGAGCAGCGACCCGAGACGACATGGTCACTAAAACCTTCAGACATGTCGTGGGCTCAAAAGCAGGAAAAACTATAGAATATCGTGGAATATTGGAAGGTCTACGAGTTGCGTCGCAGGATGGTAGACTTGAAGGATGGAGGTGACAACGTGACGGCGAGACAGCCGCCAACCGCAGAGGCCCGCCGGGCCGACGAAGATCCGACTGCGACTAGAGCCGCGGCGGACGACGACGTCAAGGAGACCGAAGCGGCAAGCAACGCGGAGTAGGAAAAGGTGCCGGCAGAGGCGAGCTGGCAGCCGTGCCGCCTGGTGGGATATTCACTGCCGGATACGGAGTTGTTGTCGAAGAATGGTGCAAGGAGGGAGGAGGCAGCAACAGGCGGGGTTGTGTCGCCGGAGAAGAAGAAAGGCGCGACGAAGAGGAAGAATGGCGGCAGGCTTCCGCGCGCGTCGCCTGTGTTGGAAGAGGGCTGCTGCGGTTTGGGCCACAAGTTGGCGGGTGTGATGAAGATTGTTGGGCCAAAGTTTGGACTCGACTTGGGCCATTTGGTTCAACAGAACAGGCCAAAGTTTGGGTTGAGAAGGGCCCCTCACGGGCTCAATTATGAGTTGCTAGCAGCAGCTAAGGAGGAGTGTGTAAATTGGGCTCAAGGAAATATTGGGCCAACAATAATTGGGCCGACCAGAGCTCTTTTATGTGGGGTGGACTTGGAGGCAAATGAAGATGGGTTTGAAAGCTTATTTGGTGAGCTTTCAAGAGAGCAAAGCCCAAAATTAATAAAAGAAGCAACAATTCAAAGTTATTGGCTTGTTCCAAGAAAAATGTATGAAGGCCTTGGTGAAATGGTACTCAAGGATGGGTTCTTGTACATGAACGAATCGTTGGGTTCCTTGAGTTGTGGAATTATGAGGCCAACCAAAGCGGAGCTGGCAAAGTTCGAATGTGTCAAGAAAGCGAATATTGGGCCCATGCAAGTGAAGGTCGAAGAAAAGGACCAGCCCAAGAAGGTTGGTGGAAGAAGCCCAATATCGAAGTTGGAGCACAATTGGAAGAAACGGAAGCGCAAGAAATGGAGTAGTCAGCGTGCACATTGCGTGAGAAGGAAGGAGGAGTGGGTCAAGTGGATCAACCTTGAGGGCAAGGTTGGTCTGAAGGGGGAGGAGATGTTAGAAACCGAATTATATCAGGTTTCTATATTTATTATTATAATCATTATTAGGGTAATTCTTATTATGGTTAGTAGTCTTCTAGTAGAATTAGGTTTATTCTTAGGGGTTTCTAGTATTTCCCTATATATAGAGGTGGCAATTGGAATCCAAATCCATGAATCCAATCCAATCCATCCACCAAATTATCCACCTAATTCAATCCAAATCCAATTGGATTGGTGGATTCATGGATCAATCCATGGATCCAAATGGCAAATTACGATTTGGTACCTATATTTTTTATATTTTACATTTTGGTACCTAAAATTTATATTTTTATACGAAAAATATCATTGGAAAATTACATTTTGATACCTAAATTTTTTCATTATGACATTTTAGTACCAAAACTTTTCAAATTTTACATTTTGGTCCAAGCCTTGGATGTCATTTGGATTCATGGATCAATCCACCAATCCATTTTATCCAATCCATGAATCCGCCAATCCATTGGATCCAATCCATTTGATCCATGGATCCACCAATCCAATCCACGAATCCACGAATCTGATCCAATTGCCACCTATACCTATATATATGTACTTTGGGTCATTCGTCATATTAAGCAGAAGTTAATAAAGAATTATCTCCCTAAATTCCTATCCCAAACCTCTCAACTCTTGACCTCAATCCCTCTAAAGGCTTAGGCCGATTCTTCTGTTCTTCCCCAAATTCTCTTCACAAATCCCTAAATCCCCAATTCTATGTTGACCTCAATCCCTCTAAAGGCTTAGGCCGATTCTTCTGTTCTTCCCCAAATTCTCTTCACAAATCCCTAAATCCCCAATTCTATTCTACAAACCCTAAATTCTCAATCTCTATATTTGATCTAGAGACCCGTTAGAAACTTGTTTCTAACAATTTGGCCTTTCAAAATTTTTCCTCTTCTTTTCCCTTGTGTATTTGTAGCATTTAAATCTAAAACAGGGATAGCCCTTGTGTATTTGTAGCATTTAAATCTAAAACAGGGATAGGAGGTTTACAAGGTAATTAGCATGGTGCTAACCCGATATGGAATAAGCACCTTATATTCTCCCATGAAATGACAACATAGAATGAGAACAAAAAACTGTTAGCCCAAAGAAGCAATAAGGGGTACCTTTATCCAGAATCTTTTCGAGTCTTCCTCGGATCTGAATGCCACTAGACGACTATCAGCTGCACATACGGCCACATCATCGCGATCCACCATGGCGACTGGTCTTGCACTAGGCTTTAACTCTCTTATGAAGAACTCGTTAAATGTCTGCATCCTCAAGAAAATCCGAAACTCATGATCCAAAAACATGCTACCAAAGGCAGCACTTATGGCTCCGGAAAGTTTCAAAGAATTATATACTTAAATGGCACCAATTGTATCAGCCAGATCGAATATCACTCATCAAACAGGTCATAAACACACTCACAAAGTAAATAGAAAAGAAAGAGGCGAAGATAAGTAACCTTAAAATGATCCAGAGGGTGCTTAACTTCAGCCAAATTGATTTGATCCTGCAACATATCATTTACAACGTCAGCAAACAGATATCACATGAGCATGCGATGTGACTACATGCAAACATGTTTATCTCTTTCCCTAGACGGCTTTGCGATATAGTGCACAAATACTTATATGGAAACTATGTTTTGTGAGTGTTAAGAAATGTTCTCTGTTTGAGCAGAAAGGCTGGATAGGGGTTATGCTAAATATAGTAATGATAACAGAACCATGTAGTGCTATAGAAAAGGATAAATATTTCACTTTCCAACAAATGAATAGCCCTAGAAGACTTTGATTTGCGACATTTTGGAGTAACATGCACAGTCATCGACCTTTAGCTACTAGAAAAGAAGCGTGCACCTTAAAAAATTCAAGGAACTTCGGTATTTCTTTAGCTGATTCAACTGAGTTCATTTTCCTTCCTTGCTTCTCAGAGATGCTGTGCAAAATTTCTTTAGCCCCTGGACCAAAGCAACCCAGTAATGCAGTGTTTATAAGATCAGCAGCAAAGTTGTCAAACCGGTTTATACCGTTGTGCCGTTTTGACAAGTGGAATGGTACGACCGGTGGTACAACCAGATTATGTCGGTTCATGTCGGTTTAACAAACTATGTAAAAAATGTGAAAATCATTAATATTCAATGAATTTAATAATATATAATACATATTTGAGGACAATTTACTTACAATCCAACAAATACCATCAACTTTTGACTTTTAAATTCATTAAATAAATAATAAATTAATTTTTTCATTAAGTATGTTCAGTAAAACGTCACTTTGCTTAGAATTCGTAAGTCGATCATGCCAGTCATACTAGTGGTGTTCATGCCGGTTTCATGACTGGCACCGATTCAACCAGATTCAACCAGCCGGGAGCCGGCATGACAACCAATTCAGCAGCCAGAAATTGACCATCTACTTGCTACAGAGTGTTTGTTGCGCTTTTCATAGATTAACTGTGAGACCATAACCTTGACAACGAAGAATAAACTACAGCGATGAATCGAACATACACAACTTGCCAGGAATACCTAACTAGGATGCCCTCTTAGAAGGATTCGGAGAGATGAAATAGTAACGCTAACATGAGAAAACTTCTTATCCTCTATGTTCAACAAGTTGTTTTAGAGGATCTCACCTTTCCTGTCAGCTACTGATCTAAGAAACAAAGGTATGTAATAAGAAATTCTGAAAGCATGCAGCGTGACAGCTAAAATATGTTAAAAAGAAAAAGAATAATTCAAGGTTAGACATCTTCATTACTATTTAATTGCCTGCATAACCGTTTGGGAGCACACACATAAAATAAGGACAATAATACCTTTATCCATTAAGTGCAGTCCTATCTTTGACTGGTAAATTGCTCTCATTGACATAACTATCTTCCCATCAATTAACTCCTCCACGAGCCTCTTTGACTTCCGATCAAACACCTGGAGCAATAAGCTGTTAGCAAAGATCGTCCGCAGGGAAACTTGGCACAAGTCATAATTGTTTGTTCTGGGAGAAAAAGAGTACTTATACTATAAATTTACTAGGTTGTACAATAAAACAGATACGAGTCATCTAAGAACTTTTGCCACGCACAACAATGACAAGGGCAATGTACAGGCCCCTGGAAGATGTGATATTTGAAAAAGAGAAACAAGGAGTCAGTCTAAGACACAGAATCATGCATACCACAATATGAGAAGCACTTGAACCTGAGTTCAAACCGATATCATATGTTGAGTAGTGAGCCCATTCGCTTAGTTTGAACATCCATCTGGCCAAGTATGGTTTTATGGTAGGCTATTAATCATAACAGAAATAAGAATTGGAGATGTCAGGTCCTAATAGAAAAGGTACTTACCCATATGAAGCTTGCTTATCGGTCAAAAATCCTCCCGTCATAATTTGATTTCCAGTTCCTTCATCGAAACAAAGACTCAAATGTACTACTGTGTTCAGCTTGTCAGAAACTTCAAGAATTTCGCCACAAACAGGACAGCAATTTATTAAAGGCTTCCTACAATGCACAACGGAAAGGAGTGAAATTCTGCAGGACAGTAACTTATCAGATTCAAGCTTAGTACAAGGAGATCGGCTGCAGAAAATAAAAAAGGAGATAAAAATAGGTCCAAAAGGCAATACAAATTATTGAAAACTGAGAATAAAGATTGTTCTAGACAACACACAAGCGATAAGTGTCAAGAGAAGTGTTCGGTTAATGGGCAGAACCATTGCATACACCAACTTTCGACCCAGACAAGTGCCCTTTTTATCGAAATCTTGTGTCCGTTCCTTGCTTTCTGCCAGTCATCCAGATTTCAGAGGTATATTGGCCACAGTTAAAGTATTGCTTGCTTTCAGTTGATCAGCATTTTGCAAGCAAAGATATTAAGTCAGCAAAATCAGCCGGTTGCATGCATTGCCCCTCCATCAAATTATACAAGACAGTATTCTGCCTTTTATAAAGAAGTAGGAGAATAGAGTATAAGAGTAGGCCTTTTACTAATGTTCATTTCTCGTGAAGATGCAGCTTACGTTTGGATGGCATACATAAGGAGAAATGTGAAGATCAACTCTTCATGTTAACTTAAAATAGCATTTCATAGGAAAGACACACACACTCACACACACACACACAAACACAGATAAAGTAACATTATGGCCTTCAGAGATAGTGAAGTATTACTTTTCTTGTTGACTTGCAAGAAGATCAGCCAACTCATCTAAGCTCACAACGCCATCCTGGTTCTTGTCTGCAGCTTTGAAAAGCTCCTCTTTCTAATCAACAAGGTAAACACATACTAAGGCAAAATTTTGGATTACCTGTCAGAACATATGGAAATGCACGCAAAGATCTAAGAGCAGCAAACACAAAGTAGAGAAAGCGCAAACCATGTGATTGAGAAAGAAGGTGCAAACTGGATATTTGAGCATACTACAGTGGCTAAAAATCTCAAGTAAAATGGCCATACCAGAAATTTACAACTCAAATTCTGTGCTTCTGTTTCTGTTCCATATGTTCAATACTAGGTGTTATATGTTGCGTTTCCTTTAGTGCAAAACCATAGATTGACTTTAACCGAACCTTGTCATCTGCCACCTTATTTCCAAACGCCTTTATTAAGTCTGAAAATTCTGGAAATGAAAGCAACCCATCTTCATTGTAGTCCTGCAAGCCATGTGAGGAGTTAAAGTTCTGATAGCAGAAGTAATGTAAATAACACATGAAAAGCAACCTCCTGATGGCCCCAAAAAATGGTCTTTGCACACCCATGACAAGTATGGCTAAGTTTTAAGTTCACATTCGGCAAAGACAAATAACATGGGCTTACTGTATGCGTTTAAGTGGGTTGTAAATACCAAATAATATTCTCTCTCCCAAAAGTAATCAATTAGATCACATAATATTATAGAGAATATTATGTGCCTTCAAAAGATAAAATCACACCCCCTCACATGCATACAACCAGGAGATTTAAAAATAAGCAGACCACAAGAAAAGATGAAGAATCCCTCACAATAAAGTTGCATGGGGTTAACCCGAATACAATCTCCCCAACTAAGTAAGTGTTGGACTGAATACATATCGTGGTAGTAAATTTTAAAAACAGAGGTTTGTTAATTTGGTGGGATTTGGTAGAGCTTTTATTAATTTGGTTTAAGTATTTCGGGAGGGACTCTGTCAATAAGTCTAACCATTTGACCAGCTACTTAGATAGATACATATATTCAACATATATCTTTTATTCATCTTATGGATATGAATGATGCATTTCAAGGCATGACCACGATAGTTTCAGTACCCAGGGATGTGGATGCAAGCAGGTTGCTTTGTGTTGTTAAAAATGTAGTTCAATTTCGTTTATAAACATTAAGGGATGGGTGCATATCAGGCCTAGTATGGATTTTTAGATCCTGCATGTGCTGTTGTCTTTCAGTCTTTGTAACTGATACTTAGATCGTTTAGTTGTTTTGACTTCTAAAGGTGTCTAGTCTAAGTGTAATGGTTTGTTTCGAATATGTAAATATAAACTCGTTTATAGATTATATTATCCGTGGGTAATTATATATAATGACTTTATGTGTTTATCCTGCAATATTTATTGAATTATATGGATGATTAGTATAATGATAAATGATTATAAATGTTAGTTAAAAATAAATAGTGTTATACTGGTTAAACCATTTAAACAACTCACCAAACCTTATTTGACTTTGGCTAGGGTTAGTCTAGTCTTTGTGTTCATTCTTCAGTTTGGATAAAGCTACAGACCCATACGTAAAAGATGGAAAAGAGCTACAGCATTGCAGATTGAATGGATGCCCTTTCAATTATCAGGAGAACCAGATTAAAGACTAAACATAAAAAATAGCACTTACAAAAACAATTTAAACAAGTAAAACATGCACACCCACTCACCCATGATAGAACTGAAAATATTTCAAAGCAAGACTGTGAAGAACTACGATTTCATGCTATACTTTCACATCAAAATTATATGATGGAGTATGTAAGTCATACCACAATGGACAAGATGCGCCGTGCAAAATTTTTCTCAGTCTCAATTGGATCCTGTGAATACTGGCCATGTCAGTATGAATATCAACTTACATAAAAACATAGAGTAACCCAAATGGCAAGCTACAAACCTCAACATTACAAGAAAGAGATATTTTCCCAACGACAATGTCAGATGAAGACGGATCAAGAAGGTCAAAAACTTCAGCACCTGAATCAAAATCCTGTCCAACAGGTGACCAAATCCCACAAATTTCAGTTAAGGCAGGGAAAGGACAGGAATGCAGCACAAGCACTGGTAACTCATGTAAACAAAAGTAATGCCATTGGCTCTTTAAGCATCTAGATCTGTCGGGTAAATTTCAAGTACCAATCGACACATAATAAAAGAAGTGAAAAAATACAAATTTCTCCAGTCAATAATCATGCAAGCCATGTGTTAAGCTAAAAGCCTCTTTATTAAACCAAGGGTACTAAATGAAGTTCGCAAGAAAATATTAGATATTAAATGTAAAAGACATGAGCATGTATTAATGAAAATACAACTAGCATTTGAAGTCTCCAGGGTTGTGCTTCTTTTCTCTAACAGTGAATTTATATATTGATATCAGCTGCAGAGCAGAACTATTAAAGTCAACTCTTAACAATAAGAACTCTCCATCATGCAAGAGTTTTACCCCATTCTTACTGGAATGGACAGATGGGTACCTAATACTTCGTCTCCACTAATTCTGGTGAGTTGTGAAACCATCATTTAACATATTCTGGGCCAGTAAATAAAATGGCCAGATCCTTTGAATTCACTACAGCAACTCCGTAAGTCACTTTGGTTTTTAGAATAAGAATGCATGCTGAGGAATCATGGATGTGCCATCCTTTTGTACTAATAATAATCTGGTAAAGGGAACCGTTACCTCAATTAAAAATTCCAGTAGATCGATCTCACAGTATCCTATTAGACTGTTTTTCGATAGTCTGTTAGTCTGCAAGGTAGAGAAACTTCAGTGAAGAATTGAGACTAAAGAAAGTATTTGGGGAAAAAATCAATAAAAGCTATATTCGTCAAGGTTTAATGCTTGCAGGTAAGAACATTACATTAACCTATGAAAGCTTAATTGTCGACAATCAAAGTATTCAAGGATGCAAACTAGTTCCACATTCTGACTATTCATGATTGAATATGTCAATTTTAACTTGGGTAATTAACATAACAAAATAATTATCCCAATAAGCATAACATTACACTCCAGCAGATTCACATCTATGCCTCACGACCCCAGAAAAAGAACAAATAAATCAATAAACAGAACTTCAGACCAAGAAGTGAGACCTGAATGCTCAATTTTAATGTTAACAACTGCAAGCATCAGTACAAGACTAGCACATTCATCACTGTCTGGCTCTGTTTAGCAAGATCAAGATGGCTAAAAAGGACAAACCCTTCCAACAGGGATTCTAAGATAGCGGTCATCACAAATTAACGAGGAAACAAAGTTTGTCCAGAAAATACTAATTATCTATTGTTTACTGAGAAGTCATATTCGAAAAAGAAAAGGGAAAGGGATTGGAAAATAAACTCTAACGAGAAGTAGTTACTGGGATCAACCTAAATCATAAATGCATATAGACATGAAAAAACAAGGTTATTCCTCTGAAGTGCCTGTCTACATCCTTTATAAATAAAAAAAAGAGCCTGACTACATCACCGAGTATAACTCGAGATATTAAATCATATTACATTAACTTAACATGTGCTACTGTCCAAACTGATATAATAGACATAACAAAGGAAAGGGAAAGGGAAAGAGCCTCTCAAAAACTGCTACTAACGGGCTCACCTCAAAAACAGAAATCCTGACGATATGAGATCCATTTTTCTCCAGAAGAAGCTTTTTCTCCTGCAGAAGAAACGCAACTCAGAAATCATTAAGCACTCAGGAAGATGCACATTGCTTTGGAGATAGAAAAACAACTAGCACACCATGGCACATGTGCCAGTGAAAAGAATTTCTTAATTTGGTGAGTAGAGCACAGAAAGATGCCAACAAGAAGCTTGTGCAAACGACATGTTCCATCTATGTATAGAAATGGCTTTGCATTCCATAACTGATGCTTGCGCTATGCATGAAAGGGAACAGGGAGAGAGAAGTAACATGCGGCACAAAGCAGCAGAGCTCTTCTACTATGTGATTTGCAAAATATTGCTAAACCCCTGCTAGATTCCCCATCACTTCTGGCATTACAGTTGACCAAGAAGGCTCATAATTCACCAGAATCCACGGCTTATGCAGAGTGATCACCAAGATTCAAAACGCATGAGTGATACGAAGAAATAGCTTTCACTTCATTGAGAATACTTACCGAGTTCCATACAGGTGTATCAGTCCTGCACCACAAAGAAATGAATCAGCATGTTGTCAATTCGATAAAGCAGGGCAAGCTTGTAGACAAAAACCAATAACATCATTAAAAATCTTTCACATATTGAATTTGGTCATATTGCGATAGAGTGAAGCACATACGCAACAAAGCGCTAAAAGGAGGGACCGAATAAGAAGCAAATCAGTTACGATTACACCTCAAATTTGTAGCCAACAACATACCTAGTGGAATTGGATCAGTCAATGAACAAGATGCTTTAGTTCCTCACAGTTTGAGGGCATCAACACTAGCACTATTATTCTTTTTGAGTTGGGGAGTTCATTGTTTCTTACCATGACAGTCTGTCGCGGGCAACACGCCCTATCCAACTTTTGAAAGATAACGCAAGCACAGAGGAAAAATCACAAAAGAGACACACAACATGGAGGCAAAAAAACCAAAGCTTAACTGATCGGAAACCTCTGTTCGGAAAGTCTGCTCGCCCAAGGAAACGCAAGCAAGCCACTTGTCTTTGAATTTCATCTCCGCCTGGGTCAATTGGAAGACGAATGAGAAAATATTTCAGTGAGTTTCCTCCTCTCTACCCTTTCCGCTTCCGGAGAAACAAGAGTACAGCTGAAAATAGGAATGACGCACACTGATGAGCGTAAGAAGCGCGATTCCGGCAAAATCCTCATCAGAGGCGAGCTTGTTTCTGTTTAGCCCGTGACCGGCGGAGGAGCTGGAGTCGTTCTTTGTACTGGAGCGGCGAAACAGGCGACTGCGGATGCGGCGACAGCGACTGCCGCGGTCACCGTGGATGTGAAGCTTGTTCGCCAAGGCAGACAACCGCGAGGATCTTTCCCCTTCCTCGGAGGAGGAGGAGGAGGAGGAGTCTTTGGAACTCCCGTGACCCATTTTCTTACAGGTCGCCGGCGAGGTCGCCCTTCGCGGTAAATTACTCTTTCCGGCTTAAAAAGGTGTGCCCGGCCGTTGCAGAACCGGAATTCGGGAGCGATGCTGCGAAGGGATTAGGAATGGAAACTGAGAGCGAATGAAGGGCGTTAGCGGCGATTTGATTGCTCAGAGAGCAGAAGACGTCCCAGAGATCTGTTTTGACGAGTGGAAAATGACGATCGCATTCCCTTGGTGGCTGCTTTCACTTTTTCAGGTTCGTTGGAAATAAAGGTCATCGATACTAATCCTTTGAACGTTTGTCTCTATTCTTCACATCACCAACCCCACCAGGAACACCAAAGAAAGCATCCTCTATTCTATTCAGTCTCCGCGGGCAAGTTTCCAATGGGAATCGAGCTGTTGACTTGGGTGATGAGTCTAATCTATCTACCCAATAAATATAAATAAAGGTAAATACAATTTAATATTCAAACTTTTCATTTTAAATAATATAATAGCCAACTCTTTTCGAAAACAATCTAATATTCCAATCGTCAACTTTCCGTTCGTTTGACCGTTAGTTAACACTTCGAAAAAGTTCGAAGTACGACACTTCATCAATATCCATCGATATCTTCTTTGAAAACCACCAACATATCGTAGTTCCAAACCCGAGAAGTCCATGACTCCACCATGATGGTATAGAATATTTAAATATTCAGTCATCTGCAATTCCAAAACAAGAAAACAAAGTTGTATTGTGACAATTTCCCCTAAACAAAGCTTTTTTGAAGTGTCAACCAACGGTCAAACGGACGAAAGTTGACGATTTGGATATTAGATTGTTTTCGAAAAGGTTTGACTATTATATTGTTTAAAATAAAAGATTTGGATATTAAATTGTATTTACCCATAAATAAAAGTCAAATGAGAAAACTTGAAGTTCCATTTCAAATTTCCTGCATCCAGAGTGAAAGTAGGAAGGGTGTTTTTTCTCAAATTTCAAAGGAAAAAAAATACATTAGTAATAAGATTTGAATCGTGGTCTCTTCAAATAAAGATAAGAAACATAACCAGTTACAATAAACACATTTGTGTGATATTTTTCAAATAAAAACATAGAGAAGCTTAAATCTGAAAAATATAAGACTTTTCCACCACGGTTAGCAACCGAAATGTCATTGATTCAAACATTGCATATATTGAATTGCACTCTTGAATGTGTAGAAGCGATGTAGAATTCTTAACATAGACTTAATTGTTATAGCTATCATAAAGTAACGATATTTTTAAACACAGAACTTTTGAGTGATTATGGGGCTCATGTGTCTTTAAGAGAGGGGTAAATATGGAAAGGTTGAGTGATGTTTGTTTGCCAAACGTGGATGGAAAATACACTACTAATGTAAACGGGTCCAAATAGTACCTCGACCCACTAAACGCTCAACCATCGCCGTCTCTCCAAACTTCTCTTCAGACTCAACAACCGGCTAACCTCCTCTACCTCTATTGTTAGTTTGCCCAACGCAAATGGAAAATGTGCTACTAATGTAAACAGACCCAAATAGTTTTCGACTCACTAAACACTCAACCACCAGGTTACTTTCGCTACACCTAATATAAGAGTGAAATGGGAAATGTGCTTCCCCATTACAAAATCCATGCATCCATAGCAAAAGTAGTAAGGGTAGATTCGTCTTCATAGTCATTTATTATTTTCTTATTCACAGGAAAAATACATAAGTGATCGGATTTGAATTTTGTCTCTTTGAGAAAAGACAAGAAACATAACCAGTTACACTAAATATATTTGTTTAAACTTTTTAAATTAAAAACATACAGGAAGCTTAAATCTGAAAAATCATTGGAATTTTACATCACAGTTAGCTAAGTCACTAACTCTGCCCTAAATATTTTTTTGGTATTTGATACTTCAATTGTCATACTTTGATTATTTTAATTCAAGTTTAACAATTAATTCTATTTCTCTTTATCTTATAAAAGGAGAATAATTTTAAAATTGCAAGCCTAATGTCATTGGTGCAAATATTGCACATCAGACATAAATAATATAACTACCAAAAAGCAACAATATTTTTGGTAGTTATATAACTACCAAGAAGTTTTGAGTGAATATGTGGCACATGTATCCTTAAGAGAGGGTAAAATATGGAAAGGTTAAGTGATGTTGGTTTGTCGAATGCGGATTGAAAAGCCGCAACTAATGTAAATAGGTCTAAATGGTGGCCCGACCTACGTACTGAACGATCAACCATCGTCGTCTCTCCAAACCTTCCCATGGGACTCGCAACCGCCTAACCTCCTCCGCCTATATTGTTAAGCAAAGAAATTTTCGGAGGGGTATATATGGAAAGATTGAGGGGTCGTGTGGATGAGGAATTGTAACGGATCAATTTGACACAATTGTCTCGTTTTGAGACAATTGTACCAAATTGCCTCGTTTGCCAGCAAAAAATTTGGATGGATCAATCTGCCTGAGGTGTTTTGAATTGATCCATTTTGAGTCAATTTCAATTGCCTGGGGTGGGGGCAGGTAATTTGAATATACTCGTTTTAATTGTCTCATTTATAAAACAAGACAATTGATTAAATTGACTCATTTCTAGATTGATCCATCCAAACGACCCCTGAGTGTTCTTGCTTGGAGAGCTGACTGGTGGGTTATTTAGTTTATTTGACAGTAATGTGTGATCTCTTAACATCAGTTCATTTGGTTGATCTTCTAGGTTGAATTTTGAGTTTATTAAAGATAAATAGTGTTTCGGGCTCCCGTCCTACTAAAGGCTCAACCATCATCGTCTCTCGAAACCTTCCCATCGGACTCGACAATTGCCTATCCTCCTCCACCTATATTGTTACACAAAGCAATTTTCGGAGGGATATATATATGTAAAGGTTAAGTGTTCTTGCTTGGAGAGCTGACCGATGGGTTATTTAGTTTCTTTGATAGTAATGTATGATCTCTTAACAGCTGTTCATTTGTTTGATCTTCTCTGTTGACTTTTTAGTTGATTAACGATAAATAACTATACTTTTTGTTGCTTTTGTTATGATACTCCTTTTGAGTATCATCATTTTCTGATTTGAAATGTTTTTGTGGTTAGTTTCCAGTAAATAAAGACTATTCTGATTAGTGTTAACATAGGGAATAGCTTTGATCATACCACTTTTACAAAAAAATTATATGATAGAGCTGAGATCATTGCCGAATTGAACTATTCAAGCTATAATGCTGATCTTCAACATATAAAACATAGTTTATTTTAAGTGAAACAACCTCATGATTGCATATAAGTTTTTAGAATATGATGTTTTGTGATAGTGTTTACTTGCTTCCAGATTTAAAAGTGGGGTTCTAATTACTACAATCTACACATAATATAATAGCATGAAGGAAAAAATCCTTCCCCCATTTCAAATTTCCTGCTCCATGAGCGTTTGTAGGAAGAGTATAATAGGGAGTGTCAATTTTTTTCTCTTTTCTCTGTGGAACGAGCCAACTTACCGTACACGTGCGGACTTGAACGGGCCCAGGGATTGTTGCGGCCCACAAAAACAGAATAGGTTCCAGTCACAGCCGCATCTGTTTCATGCCTCCATAGCGATCACTGTAACCGAGTCTTGGATTGTTCCGATGCTGGATCTGGACTCCACCAACGCCGAGAATAAATGAGATAATTAGAGAAAGAGAGCTTCATAATTGTTTACAAAATAATTTCCCCAATCCTTCTTCCGTGTGCTAATCGCCTAATCCCTTCCCTATGAAAAGAAATCCAAGCATACTAAAAAGATCCAGGCATGCTCACGAAGAAGGGTGATAAATTGCATGCAAGTAAAATTTAAAGATTGAGTCATTAATTAAATCATAATCAACCACCCCTTTTTCCATCATTTGTAAGCTCTAACAGATAAGTGACAGAAATTCACAATATCGTTTCACTGTAACAATACAGTATTATTGAAGATTGGTGGCTTTCTCTTCTTCTTCGTTAAACTAGCGTCGAAGATATACAAAGAGGGGGGTTTAAACAAGTGATAAGAGAAAGGAAGATTAAGAAATAAAAAACAGAGTCTGAGAGGGGGTGGAAATTGACGTTCGGGGGAGGATGACATGCAGGAAAAAAGTTTGCAAAGCTATAATTAAGGACAAGAAAACAGGGATGGGGAGAAGTGGCTACTGGCGGCGATATAATTGAGATCGAGAGAGAAAAGTGAACCATGAGTCAGTGAGCACTGAGCAACTTTTTCTAGGGGATATAGGGTTTTCTTTAAGCCCTTTGATTTCTCAGTGTTGGTAAGATATATATGAAAGGGCAAAACAATACTCATTTTTTATTGCTAAAAATAAAAAATTTAACAATAAACTAATGCATGGATTCTAATGGGCGAACCGCTAATCATAGAATAAAAGAGTTGAATGGGCCTGACTCATACGGGATTTGACCATCAAGTTACAAGTAAAATAAATGAACATCATGGGTTTGCCATCCTAAAACATGCTATTTTCTCTAGCATAACATATATTATTCTATTATTTTATATCTTAGTGGCTAAAATATAATGTATTATAAAGTTATTAACTGGTTCGACCTCGACCAACTTGATTGGTCCAATTTTTATAATTTCAAACTAGCCTTTTACCCGGCCCGTTGGCCGAAGAGAGTTATTATATAATTTATATGAATTAACTTATCTATATGTTTAAATCATTTTGAATCTTTTAAATATTTTGTGTTGATTCATAACAGAGTTTGCAGTATGTCTATATTGAAAATTTCCAATATATAGCACACTCACTTCTGATGCTTCGGTTTTCTAATCATAAATTATGTCGCTGTCTCGTCCCATTTAGAACTTATATCAAAATTTGTCAACCAAAAAACTAATATTTACAGTACGCCAACCTAAACCACACACGCACAGACATATATAATTCAAGCTAGCGTGCGTCAGAAGTACGCTATACTCTTGCGTTCACACTACCATACGACCATAGAGTT